TACTAGGAGCAAGAAGCTACTAGGGGCTCCTGGCCTTACTAGTAGTAACAAGAAGCTAGTAGAAACAAGTGCCACGAAGCTAGTAGAAACAAGTGCCACGCTAGTAGTAACAGGTGCCGTAGTAGTAGTAACAAGAAGCTATTAGAAACAAGTGCCTTACTACTAGGAGCAAGAAGCTACTAGGGGCTCCTGGCCTTACTAGTAGTAACAAGAAGCTAGTAGAAACAAGTGCCACGCTAGTAGTAACAGGTGCCTTACTGGTAGTAACAACGTTTGCTATTGGAAACAAGTGCCACGCTAGTAGTAACAGGTGCCTTACTAGTAGTAACAAGAAGCTAGTAGAAACAAGTGCCACGCTAGTAGTAACAGGTGCCTTACTAGTAGTAACAAGAACCTAGTAGAAACAAGTGCCACGCTAGTAACAAGAAGCTAGTAGAAACAAGTGCCACGCTAGTAGTAACAGGTGCCTTACTAGTAGTAACAAGAAGCTATTAGAAACAAGTGCCTTACTACTAGGAGCAAGAAGCTACTAGGGGCTCCTGGCCTTACTAGTAGTAACAAGAAGCTAGTAGTAACAAGTGCCACGCTAGTAGGTTGATTTGAAGTTAGAGCCGCAAAGGGTCCAGAAAGAGCGACTAGCGCTCTTTAGCTCGCTATGCTGACCAAAAGCTCTTCATTGACTTGCCGGTGTCAAATCATGTTCTAGAGCTTTATACGGTTTCTTATCAGATGTGATTGGTCCAACCAACCCTTCCAGGAAACAGGCAATCTGATTCTGTCATATTCGCCTTGATATGTTCTACGCACGAACTTCACGAAAACGGAGAGTTCCAAGTTTGGAGAATGAAAGGACAAGACGGAAGAATGGAACACAAAGGACGCTACTAGGGGCTCCTGGCCTTACTACAAGGAGCAAGGACCCTACTAGGAGTACAGCAAAGTTTGCCTCCAGGAGAAGGGCTACGCCGTGGAAAGCCAGCGCTTGATGTACTTTGGGGGAGAGCTGGAGGACCAACACCCAGAAGAGCGCGAGCTGAAGACTTCACACCCACAGAAAGAAGCAGACGAAAAGAGGCAAAGTGAACTGAGAGGTCACTTGTTTCTACTAGCTTCTTGTTACTACTAGTAAGGCACCTGTTACTACTAGCGTGGCACTTGTTTCTACTAGCTTCTTGTTACTATTAGTAAGGCACCTGTTACTACTAGCGTGGCACTTGTTACTACTAGCTCAACTTTCAGAAATCGTTTCAAGAAGTCCAAGGATTGTTTAGGTGCCTTTGACCTGCATCAGTTTGCAATTGGCATGATTTGTGCGTGGTTCTTGAGCAGAGGACACTCGGACGCTGGAGAGTGCGGGCATGTGCAACACAGCAGCTTGCACATTCAGGAGGGAAGTAGCGTCCTTGCTCCCAGTAGTGAGGCCAGGAGCCCCTAGTAGCGTCCTTGCTCCTAGTAGCGATGCCCTTTGTTCCTAGTAGCCTCTTGCTCCTAGTAGTAAGGCCAAGCTTGGAAGCAAACAGAACATGTATCATGCCCAGCATGTCCAAAGATTTTACTCGAAACTGTTCGTTCAACCTTTTGGAAAGGACAACAAATTGATGACTACGTCCATGTTATACTTTTCTTCAACGGGTCGACTTGTGATGTCTAAGGACGATCCTTTGCTTCACATGATTCCGAAGGCGTGAGTAGGTGTGAGTCCCATCTCTTATGTTTCACCTCGTTGATACTAGTAAGGCACTTGTTACTAGAAGCGATGCACTTGTTCCTAATAGCTTCTTGTTACTACTAGTAAGGCACCTGTTACTACTAGCGTGGCACTTGTTACTAGTAGCGTCCTTGCACCGGGTGCGTCAAATCGAAGGTCGAAGTTTTCCGCGAATCCGTGCCTGCGGAGAAATGGAGACTCCGAAATTCGCACGAAACTCGGGTGCCCACCGGACCGTCAAATGAAGCAACAGGACGTGTGAATTGTCGCTACCCTTGACAAGAGTGGTTTCTTCGGAAAGAAGGATGACATGGCTTGACATCATGACTCAAGAAATGAACCTCGGAAAAGTACCAAAAAAGGTCCAAAAGGAAAGGAAGAACAACGTCTCACGGTCTGAGGAAAGAAACACGGAAACGACACAAAATAAAATGGAACAAGAAGCTATTAGTAACAAGTGCCACGCTAGTAGTAACAGGTGCCTTACTAGTAGTAACAAGAAGCTATTAGAAACAAGTGCCACGCTAGTAATAAAATAAGAAACGACACTTGCAAAAAGGTTCTCCTTCACCCGCGCAGGTGAGGCACTTGGTCCCGGACTTGACTGAGCCTGAGGATTGGGGTAGGCCGCTAGTAGCTTAAATCGATTTAAATAGCTGTAGCTACTACCTTGGACGCAGGATAGCTCGCGCTTCTTCAACGAAACTCCCCCCGCCGCCCTGGCGAGCGGCGGGGCAAGCTTCCTTGAATTGAAGAAGCGCTTGCACTAATGATTTGGTTCCTAGATTTTTAGGGAATAATCAGAGTGACATTCCAGGTTGGAGGCCATCGCTAGTAGGTTGGAGGTCATCGCTGGTAGGTTGGAGGCCATCGCTTCTAGGTTGGAGGCCATCGCTACTGGGTTGGAGGCCATCGCTAGTAGGTTGGAGGCCATCGCTAGGAGGTTGGAGGCCATTGCTCTTTGGCTAGTAGGTCGGAGGCCACCGCTAGTAGGTTGGAAGCCATCGCTAGTAGGTTGGAGGAATTGGAAGCCATGAATGGGGAGGAAATCGCTGAATGCCCTTTCACCTAATGAACTGGCAGGACTGGCCCTTTTTGCATTGCCGGCATGTTTTCTCAGGGCAAGGACGCTACTAAGAACAAGTGCATCGCCGCATCGCTTCAAGTAACAAGTGCCTTACTAGTAGTAACAAGAAGCTAGTAGAATTAGAATAGATGGGTCTCGGGTCTTCTCAACCATTCAATTTGCCACCATTTGCCATCATTTGCCCGTATGGCCTATGAGTATTCTCGTTTGTAGAAATTGTGGTTGAGCAAGGTGGTTTTCGCTTTGATGGCTGACTAATGAGGCTTATTCATATTCATGTCTTATACAATTGATTCTTAGCGTTTTACTTAGTTTTCCCATTCTTTTTGTTTTGTGCTCCTTTAAAGATCTGTGAGTTTTCAGAGAAATTTCCCTCCAGTTTCGGCTTGACATTATTGTGCAGGCTCAGTACTGTGAAGCGAGACGGCACGGCCTGCGCTGGGAGCCTATCCGGCAAATCATCCCGAACCCATCGGAATTGGGGCATTGGTGGATTCTGGACACTTTCAGGGTATTTTAGGCGTCATAGTCTTAATTAGTTGTCATCAAGAATCAAGACACTATATGAACTTGGCAGAAGGATGAGTCATGCGCCCATCAAGTCCCATCAAAAACGACTGGAGCGTTTCACTGGATTTTTTGTTGTCAAGAATAAAAGAGGCCAGGGCAGGCAAGGTGTGAAGGGACTTAACGGGCGCTGTCATGTGCTGCGTGTTTTGATAGATGTATGAACCTTGTATCTGTCGCGAACTTCTTGGTCCAAGGGTGTGTCAAGACTAAGAAAAGAGGGCAAAAACTTAGCATAGTCTCATATCCTTTGTTTCACAATGTATCATGCAGCAGCAATTACCCAATATTTGGCCGCGCATTTCATTTTCCCAACTCGAGGCCAACTGTTCTTGGCGACAAGGATGTTTGGGCTGCACCATACCGCCGGGCGAGGAGGAGATGAGAGATGATGAGAGCAAATGTTGATCGTTCTCGCGAGGGAATGAAACACTTCTGTAACACTACTCTGTTGCAACTTCTCTGTTCCGTCCCATTCTTTCCAACTTCCTTTAACTAACGACCCCGCTCGCAAAGCACATGTTCGGAAACGCCAAGGAACTTTGGGAAGTCATGTCTAAACGCCCTAATTACTCTTTCAAGAGGTCACGCGCCCCACCTCAAAATGTATAGATGAACATGGCGACATTGTTGCGAACATGATGCCAATGCGCAGACGATGACAATTTTACCCATGCGATGACTTCAAGAAAACAATGATGTGAGCTTGTGAAGTTGATTGCAACAATGAAGCGAAGCGGATGCAACACAAGTTTATGAAACCCGGGTCATTAGAGGCGGCCTGAGCAAAAGTACGTTCTTTTTTAGATGTTGGTTTTGTGTCTCTAACAATTGTAAAGTTTGTTCAGGATATCCACCTTATCGCAGAGGAATCCATTGCAGTGGACTCTGGGCAGATTACAGGCTGTCAGTTGCAAGTGGGTTTCGGAGTCAAGACATCCAACTTAGCTTCTCAGCTTTCTCACCGCCAGACAGACACGTTTTGCAGACGTTCAGGAGACTTCTGACCACAAAAGGCAATTGACACCTCACCATTTTATTGCCTTTGGAATCTCATCGCGTAAACATTTGTTACTCTTTCTTTGATGGCCAGTGGGAGTTTCTTGCTACAGGTGGGTAAATCACAGTTCTTGTGCCGATTCGTTACGCTGCAGCCTGCGCAAGCGGCTCAAACCCTCCCGGGCACGGGGATTGGTCTGCTTCTGAAGGCAATCACATCCGAATCTCAGAAGATACAAATCCGCGACAATCCACGTGATATCATTCTCAAGGCTTGATAAGAAAGACCAGGACCAGCTGACCAGCTGTTCCTTTCTTCGACTGGACAACAATTCTAGGCTGGAGAGAGATTCGGACATAGATTTCCTTCAGAAAGCTAGCCCAGACACATAACCTGCCTGGAATGGAATAATGGATGTTGAGGCAGGTTGACGTCCCCATGTCAGTTTTTCCCGAGAGCGCCTGCGAAGGGTTCTTCGTAAAAACATCTGCAGAACTACGTCTCATCTACATCTTCACATCTTCACCTCTGCACATCTACATTCTCATCTATATCTCTGCTCATCTTCACATCTACATTCACATCTGCACATCTACATCTCTGCTCATCTTCACATCCTCACATCTACATCACATCTACATTCTCACCTATAGCTCTGCTCATCTTCACATCCACATTCACATCTGCACATCTACATCTCTGCTCATCTTCACATTGATGAAGTGATAGAGTCATGTGATCATGAGAAGGTTGACTTGACCTTGCGTTCTCCACCTGGCCGTATGGCCCAATGAACAGGCCTTGAGCTAGTCCGCGCTGCGCCATGAGAAAGACGTGTATGATATCGTCGTGGGTTCGTTCATGAAATTGGATTTGTGTTGAGCATTGTTGGATTGTTGACATCCTACCGTTTCAGTGGTAGGCGGAGCGTGATTTCGATGTTTGGGACCACGCCAGATCCATGGTTGCATTGGAGGGCCACTCAAGCCGGTCAACCCGATGCTTCGACTAGGGCTGCTTCCTTTGGTCAACCGCAGGGATCGCAACAGAGCTTTGCACCACAGCAGGGTTCGCAAGGTTTCACAGCCGCAGCATTTGCTACATCCTTAGGATCCACAAGTGCTGCACCATCCGCAGGTTCTCAGAACCCACCTACCAGTGCCTTCATTTTGCTTGGGGAGAATGCACCTCCCGCCAGTGCTGTTCCACCACAGCCTACTCGCCAGTCACCAGATCAGCTCATTGCGAGTGCTTTGCATCAGGCCCTGGCAGGAGAAAAGCGTGCCATCCCGAGCTGGAATGGATCTCCTTCGACTTTGAGGTCATGGCTGAAGTTGTTGGCCGTTTGGGAGTTTGAGTCGACGGTTCCCATGGACAAGAGGGAAATCAAGTTGTTACAAAGTTTCCAGAGAACTCACAACCTCGTCGAATTGCAGATACTGTTCCTGTTGAAGTGTTGTTGTCCCCTCAAGGGTATGGAGCAATTTTGGCAGCAAGCACCACATGCAATTGATGTTTTTGTGTTGAAGGGGAGCGTGCGAAGGGTGAATCTTTCAGTTCATTCATTGCTACAAAGCAGTTGCAGAGGCAAGAGATGGAATCCCAGATGGGCGAGAGGATTTCAGATCGGTTGTGTGGCCGCATTCTGCTGAAACAGGCCAATTTGGATGAGCTGCAACGAGAGATGGTTTCTCTTCGAGGCCCAGTTCTTCGCACCTTTGATGAAGTTGCAAATATGCTCAGGCCCTTGGACAGGCCGGAAATGTTGGCTAAGGTGACCGATTCCTCATCCAGTGCCAAAGCCTATGCAGTGAGCTTTGAACAGGATCCACCTGGTCAGTCCGAGCCTGTTGACGAGATCGATGACAACGAGAGACAGATGCAGAAGACTGGGGTAGCTCAGATGAAGATGAAGAGGGCTATCCATATGTCTACTTTGAAGACCGAGAGCACGATGAGCTTGAAGCAGTTGAGATCATGGCATACCATGCCGCTTACAGGGATGTTCGCCGTGAGCTTCAAAAGAGAAAGAATGAACATGGCTATGTCTCCCGAGATCGCGCCAAAGGTTCTTCAAAGGGCTCTCGCTTTGTTCGCAAGGGCAAAGGAAAGAGCAAAGGAAAGAAAGGGAAAAAAAGTTTTCAGCAGCGCAATAGCAACAAGGGCTATGAGGATGATCTGGAGCAACGAACACGTTGTTGGAATTGTCAGGAGTTGGAACACTTCTCAAAGAACTGTCCTTTGAGCTCCCGTGGAGCAGGTTCTTCAAGTACATCAGCCTCCACCAGACAACAACAGCAGTTTGTTGTGAACAATTGACAACAGTCGTTTGCAACTCAGCAGTACATGCAGTTTTCCATGCGTCCATTGCCAGGTCAGAATCCACAGGTTTTCATGCACGCAATGCAAGCGGCTCGCATTTCAGTGTATGCAGGAGTTGTTTGCACACCAGGTGAAGAATTGGTCGATACAGCACCAAAAGCGGTGATTGGCACACGTGCATTCAATCATTACAACAAGAGTTGAAGAAGCATGGATTGCAGACCTTGAAAGTTGACCCTTTGATGCCCCTCCCCACAGCAGGTGGAATCGGTGGCCAGGCGGCAGTGGAGTGCCTGGTTGAAATCCCCATCGGGGTTGCTGGCATCAATGGGCTCGTTCGCTTTACGGTTCTGAAGGATTCCAATGATTGCGCCACACCACCACTTCTGCCCATTTCGTCCCTCGAGACGATTGAAGCTTCGATATACCTTTTGGTGGCCGGCAATGGTAACACTGCACCCATGCGCCGGTTGCCAACCCGCCATCGGGCTACAAGCATCCTCAACTTCGTCGACAACAAGTGGAGTCTCCCGGTTCAGCACCGGAAGGATCCCGCCATTGATCCTTTTGAGATTCCTAGGCAGAGTCCTGCCAACCGGACCACGTCTTTTTGGCTACAACCTCAGGATTGTGTTTCAGTTTGGTTGTTGCGCAATGATGTGTTGATGCATGTACAAGACGTGCCGGAACGCCATACATAGTTGTTGCCATCACAATGCAGTGCGCTCAAACATTTTGAGCGTGAGCTGGAGCCAGAAAGGCTGGCGTATGCAACATTGACTGACGGCCATCAGATGGTTGCGCGTGATCGTTGGCAGTCATGGTCAGCAAGTCGCTCGTTGCTACAGCCTTACCACGGTTCAGTCATATTTCGCTTCGCCCAATGGTGCATTGGCTGACAGGATTTTGGGGGGAGAGTCGGATGTTGTCAGGACTGTTGACATAGCTGCAGCCC